TTTGATTGGATTAGGAATAATAATTCATTGTCGAAGCGGCGATCGACCTGAAAGTGACGCAGGGTGGTTAAGTGGCTGTGTGATTAAGAATAATCATAATTCCACGATATTCTCCTCTTTTACATTACACACATACACGTGTGATATACAATATTTGAGATATATGAATATCCCATCATCAAATAATTTAACTTTAGATGATATATGGCATGGTGTTCGTATAAAGAATTGTCGAAATTAAAGACGTTATAAATAGGGGAATCCAGCGAGGAGTTAAAGAAGAGCCAAACAGTGTGCAAACTTTGACAAGAAGCTTTGGGTGTGTGTGTGCTGGCCATTTTAACTAGAACTTTAGGAAGTGAATTGGGAAGCTTTCATTTCACTTTAAGCCATCACTCAAAACCCTTCATTTTTGTCTCTCACTTTTTCTTCTCTTTTCCTCCCCTTTCTTCTCCTTTCCTGCTACTTTCTTCCTTGCTGCGTGTGTTTGTCTTTGGGTTGAGTGAGACAAAACCCGGCTCTGAAATCTGCATTTTCTTTTATTTTTCAACATATAACCAACAAAGTGTGGCACCAAGTTCCAAGCATTTTGACTCTCCCCCACTTCATTTGACTTTTCCACTCTGTTCCAACTTCTACCCATAAAGACTTCTTTAATTTCTTGCTCGCATATAACAACCCCCCTTCCTCTCTCTCTCACTCACCGTCACCTTCACCTTCACCTTCGTTGTCAAGTCTCGAGAAGAAGATCGATCCTGGGTGGTCAGTGAAGATCTCAATCCCATGCGATGGTTTGTGCAAGGAGCAAGAAGCAGACGGGACTGATGGTTGTGCTGTTTCTGATCCTCCTTACGCTTTTACAATTCACCATTCCATGCCTTGCTGCAAAATCCAGATTTCACAGTTTCGAAGCTTCTTCTGGCTCCGCTTCTCAGTTCAGACCTGGTCACTCCCCTCCTGCCTTCAAAGCGAATACAAACAATAAAGATCATGATCAAGTCATTTTCGGAGCAGACAAGAGGAAAGTCTACACAGGTCCGAATCCTCTACACAACAGATAAGTACGTTAGCAGAGATGTAAGCCTCCATTTCTCTCCCTTGCTTGGTCCAGTTCTAGGTTTCCTCCTCTCAAATCCTTTCTGCTTCTTTCTTTTCTTTGATTTTTTTCAACTTCGCTTATTCGTGATCTGCCGTCAAGTTTGCGGATGTATATACTATGTATAAGAATTAGGATTGAGATTATATTATTGTCGAGAGAAAAATATTTATGAATTACTATTGAAAAAAATAGTGAGATCCTTTGCCAACCGTTACTTTATGAATATATCAACTTGTGCCGTGCCGTGCCGTCCATTCCATCAAGCTATTAATGGGGGCTGTTTGCTGGTGCGACCAATTAATATTATTGTCTGCTTTTGCTTTTAGATTCTGAACCGTGTTCGTATGCATGCGCGTCCTCTTGTCCTCTCCGCTTTTGATTTCTTCCCAGAAACTCTCACATAATCATCATTAGGTTCTGCATATAAATAAATAAATCTACCCTCCAAGGCTTACAGTATCACGCATGTAATACGGTAGAAACTCCGCCGGTAATGTCTGTACCACGTTGTACGTACGTGCAGTGTCTACATATATGGCAACGAAAGATTCTGGTAAAATAAACAAGTACGTTAATTCATAGTATAGCTTGCTTTGCTCAAATATATAGTCTCGTTCGGTTCACTATATCTGAGTCATATAAGACTGGCTCAATCTATTATCTATCATTACACCCAAGCAGCCTTATTCGCCGCAGTAAAAGTTGATCTCAGCATAGAGAACTGTAGGGTGATCTACACTTGTCTTTTGGAGATTTTAATTTTACTATATATATAAAGTGGAAATGGGTCATGTGTTATAAAGATTTGATCCGTGGATGTAAATGAAATTTTTCAACCACAATGAAGACCTTTAATCATGAAGTTGAGCAAAAATCAAATTCCGACGTCGCTAGCCGTCGAACCAGTCGTCTAAATTTCTTTGTCGTGATTATGATTGCGGACCCACTGCAAGCTGCATTTTTTTATCATAAATTTGTGAAATGTGTAAAAGAAAGAATAAATATGCATGTGAATTATGCAAACGCATTATGTTACGGTTCAGTCCAACCACTCCTGTATTATGCATAAAACATACTAATCATCAAAGGCCTAGTTCAACGAACTTTAGTTAATCTCTACACAGCCAAATGCGTTGCCTTTCGCTAATCTCACAATTTTTCTTCGTCGTCACGTATTTGTAACCCTCCAACAATTCATTGAAGCACCTGCATTTGCCTTCTTCAGTACCTCTTAACTGATGCGCAGTTCAGTTGGTTTGGGTTTGGAAGATATTTGGCCTAAAATACTTCTTCCGTTCCTTATTATAAGAGACATTTGATGCTCATGGCATGTTCCTATATATAAGAGACACTTAAAAGTTGTCTCTAATTTTTTGTGTTGATTTCCTATTTTACCCATATTTATTTTATCTCTAATTCACACTCTCTCTCCTTCCCACTTCTCTTTCTTTTAATAATTTAATTGTTCTCTCTCATGCTCTCTCTTTATTAATGAGGGCATTTTTGGGAAAAATTATACTTTTTACATATTATTGTTCTTAACTAATTTTAACTGTTTTTTTGATCAACGTAATTTGATTATTCGTCTCTTATAATAAGGAACGGAGGGAGTATAATCGTTCTGAGAACGGATATTTCTCCATCATCATTTAAACTGCTGTTTTCTCTTGGGCAGTGGGAACAATTCCTTGTGGCTGCAAATTTTTCAGGAGAAACTACGTTATGGAGCCTCCAACAAACGGCCAAATTGGACATTCAATGCGCATTAATTACATTTTGCATTTCTCGAGCAAATTGGTGAGATTTAAAAAAGGGAGGGAAAAAACTTCTCGCAGTTCCCTTTTCACTTCTCTCTTCTATTCACGAACCACATCTTAGGATCCGAAGGTTGAAATATTTACGTGTGGAAGGGCACAGAAACGTTTGCTAATTGAGGACACATAAAGAGCAGAAGCCTTAGGATCCGAAAAGAGTCACTCCAACCTGAGAGCACGTCAAGTCATTTTCTGACAACAGAATGTCATAGCAACGAACAAGCATAAATGTGCTCGACAAGATTGGCATTTAAAGTATGTTTCGCATTATTTGAGAGAGCTCCATATTTCAGTTCTCTTTAACGAAGCAAACCTTTAATGGCGCTTTCAGAGTGCTTTAAAAGTTTTTCTCCTGTGCCTTAGATCCATCAACTCGAGAAGGGGTTGAGGATTTCAAAGTCATGACAGTTCGACGCGAAAATGAAGAGAACGGAGGCCAACTGGTAAGCAAAATCTGCGCTTTTAGTGGAATCATATTGATGAAATGCTTTGACTATTTCATCAAAAGCACATAGAGAGAGCAGGCTCTCAATCTCACCTGGTACGTTACGAATATGATGAATGGTGTTTTGTCGGTTGGATTATGTCTTCCCGTTTGAAAAATACGTTCTCTTCTTCTCTGGTCCCAACCCAGGTAGCGTACGACTAGATTTTCTTTATGTTCTTTAAGAAACGAAGGTTCAACTTCATGATTACTGATTAAAAAAAAATTTATGTTCCGTGGAATGATTATTGATGATGTTAATCCATGCAGCCACGTTCTCATTTAGCGTCGTAAGACTTGTTACTATTCATAATCGTTGTGCCGTAAGCTTCCAATGAAGTGAACGGCATCCGATCCATGGATAATTGAAAATACGATACCCAGAATTTCAAACATTATGTCCTCGGATTCTTGTTCTTCGAATATCAGCACTCTTGAACAACCAAACAGCAATGTTCATAATTAGCCGCACTTGAAGATTTTATGGTATTTTATGGTGAAATTTAAATCAAATCAGTGACCTCAAACTGAATTGCCTGCACAATCAGGCCAGTTGCAGACCAGGATGCAGCGTATTAAATTTGGAACTACTTTTCTTTCACCAGAAAAACTGTTTTTTCGACATGGGAAAGATTATTGAAACAAAAGCAAGGAGACAAACAGCCCAGAGCATTGAAAGCGGGTTTGAATGCCCCGGTTCAAGTTGGAGCAGGTGCACGGTTCTTCTCCCAGGACATTCAACAGCCCTTTCAAAATATTACTGCCAGTATTGCTTTTCGGCCAACTAGTCCCTCACACATACTAGTGCTAACAGAAATGCTCTCACTGGGAGCAAATCAAGGAAGGATGAATATAAAATGACATTCAAACTTTCATAAAGGCTATTATTGCGCGGGTTAGAATTGTTTAAGGGCCTGTTTGGATGCTCCAAAACCTTGGTTTCAGAAGCACTTTTCCGCAAAACGAGGTAACCTCCTCCACATATTTACTTCGTAATCCGTAAAAGCACTTCTGAAACCATGGTTTGGTTTCTATCCAAACACTCCCTAAAAGCAAGAGGAGGAGCTGAGGTTTCTCAGGCAGTCACCCTACAGGCACCTCTATTATATCGTACTCCCTCCGTTCCTTATTATAAGAGACATTTGATGCTTATGGCATGTTCCTATATAGAGACACTTAAAGTTGTCTCTATTTTTGTGTGTTGATTTCCTATTTTACCTATATTTATTGCCTCTAACTCACACTCTCTCCTCCTTCCCACTTCTCTTTCTTTGAATAATTTATCATTGTTCTCTCTCATGCTCTCTCTCCTTATTAATGAGGGCCTTTTCGGAAAAAAAATTATACATTTCACATATTAATTGTTCTTAACTAATTTTAACTGTTTTTTTGATCAACGTAATTCGGTTATTCGTCTCTTATAATAAGGAACGGAGGGAGTAGTAATTAATTGTGCAGTCAAAGCCGACCATTCTCTCTCTGACTCTCTCTTCAAGGGTGGTTGGCCTTTAACCCTTTGTCCCCAATCAAAGAACCACCCTGCACGTTTTTTCTCTCGTCTTTGGAGAAATAAACAGCATTCGTCATGAAAAAACACGACGAGTGCGCAGGGGATAATTGATACGCATACTCGGTAAAACTGTATCAAGGGTCGAGATACTGATACCTTCCTATATAGCAGTATGCTGTTAGTAAAAATTAAATTAAATTAAATTCTGTATAACTGTGTGCTGTTGATACTCATAGCGGAGCAGGCATCCCCCGTTTCATGATTATGGGTTAGCTAAGCCGACGGCACATACTCTGTACGAATGGATCATGACAACAAATGGATACAAGTTGCGATGTGGGTGAACATGTCCATCATGGTAGCGACAGTACTCACAGTTTGGAGGCATTAGCTGTAAGTTTAGTCAAGGCAGTTGCGGCTTTAGAACCAGAAGCACGGCCTAAATGCTTGCAGATATACTCCCCGGCCACCATAAGCTTTCGAAGGTCAACATTGGTTTTCACTCCCAGTCCATTCAACAAGTAAACAACATCCTCTGTCGCCACATTCCCGGTTGCACCCTTCGCATATGGGCAACCCCCAAGACCAGACACCGATGAATCCACTGCGCTGATCCCCATCTAACAACAATTCACCACATTACCAATTAATTGTAAACTGTCTTCAAACATATGAAATCACACACCTCATTCTTCCTAGAACACACAATTTTTTGTAAATTACAAGTCTTTAGATTAACTAAAGAAGTGGTTCCTGAGCCACACAGAATGCGAACAAAGAGATTTAACTTCATTTAAAAAAAAAAAAAAAAAAAGCTTCTACTTTGTAACTCCTAAAACCACAATGTTAACGGCTTCAAAACAGTAGAATTCCACAAGTTTAAATATGTATGCGATATCTCTATAAGTTACCATACATATTTATGTAGACAAATGGGTAATAGCAGATGCAGTAAACCTCCCATCTGTGGTTATTGTCAAAAAGATTCAGTTAAACACAAAAATTAATTTGCGACACAAATAGGGCATGTTGAATCTTTTTTTTTTTTTGGCCGAGAAATACAGCATGTTTAATCAAAATCAGCATCCAAATAATTCTTCCAAATTTGGAAGGGAAAAAAAAAAATACCTGAAGTGAGACAAGAGTATTTGAAAGTGCCTGACCATAAGTATCATGAAAATGAACAGCAAGTTTGTCAACAGGGACAACATCAAGAACAGCTTCAAGCATTGGAATGACAGTACCTGAGAAGATGAGAAAAACTGAGTCAAATTAGACCTCATGATAAATCAAAACAGCCTGGATAGCCATAAAAGTTATATAAAATGTTTATATTAGACCAGAGTTCACAGAATACTAAATGACAACAGGCAGTTTTGGTAGATGTTTGCACGAATAATGATCTGATAGGAAACATTTAAAGAATATTATGGCTATATTGGACAGAAATATGCCCTATTTTTTTCCCTTGAAATGTCTCAAACCTTAAACATCTCATCATATGCTCCAGATAAAATGGCACCTAAACAGCAAACCCCTACTTAAGACAAAAGAAAAGGAACCCTCATTTGAAATGATATACAACATAATTCATCATGCACACAGTAAAGACAACTTGATAGTCTATTGACTTTCAGATCTGCCGCAACCAAGCAAAATAAGATTAGCCAAAGAAGTTAGGCCAAGATAGATAAAATCGATAGCCCATACCAAAATCCTCTAACACGGAAGATGGATACAGAAAAACCGCAATCAAATCAACCCCTACAACAAAGAAGACAGTTTTGAACAATTACCAGGCGTGCCAACACCAATGGTATCGCCTAGTGAGATCTCTGAGCAACCCATATCATACAGTGCTTTTGCCACGTATGCTACTTTAGCTGGAGCAACAAATCCTTCCAGAGGACACCCCACAACACAAGATATATATCTGAAGTAAACGGAATTCTGTTACAGGAATAATCATATAAAATGCCAATGATAAAGCTGAAATCTAAAAGTCAAAAGATGAGAAACAGGCTGTTGTTTTAAGCTTATTCAAAATCTCAAAAGGAAAAAACAACAGATAGTGATAGAGGCATCTTGAAATCTAAAACACAGTATCAACAAGCAAACCAGTTCTATAATTTAAACTATCTTTCACGCCATGCCCAAGCCCGACAGGCAGACGTTCAATCACTACCAGAGATAATGCAAATCAGATTTATAACTTAAATTTATTATATAAGCTTCAAGTCTCTATTAAACACTACGATATCTCACAAACACAACAAGCAATTTATACAATTCAAGCATTCTTTAAAATCAGTAAGCAAACATCAGAATATACTTTTATCATTTATCTTTTATCCTATCCAGTAAAAAGTATAGTAAAGTACCCACGAACAGGGATTGAGAGCTTGCTAGCAGCTGAAGCAATATCACGGCATCGAGCAAGATTATCTTCAATGCTACAGTTTAGATTTGCCTTAGAGAATGATTCTGAAGCTGCAGGAAAAACAGCCACTTCCTTTGCACCAGCAGCAACAGCCGCCTCAAAACCCTAAGATAATGGATCCCATAATTAATCCCACACATAAATTTTGACTCACTCATATATTATATATTTCACCGGTGATCCATGAAAAACTCTTACTTTAAGATTTGGAGTTAAGACAGGAAATCCAGCACCATCAACATTCTGAATTGCTGCCATTACATCCTTTGCGTCTGCAAGCTGAAATTCAGTCACAAACGATTTTGAATTAGATTAAAACACAAATGAGGGAATGTTCTATCTTCCATCACATAGTACACCATGCACAAGATACACTGAAGAATAATTTTATACATATGCAATAAAACAAGTACTAGGAATAGGAATTGCAAACTGTGTTTTGTTGGTTTGTTCGATTAACTTCAGCTTATAGTTAATTGATGAATGACAATCTTCATATCACTAAATCAAGAACTAAGTGAAATATCGAAATAATAACAAAAAGAATATAATACCAGGGGGAGAATTGCAAACTGTGGATTGTCTTTCAGAAAATCAAATCTGCTCTTACCTGGGGTACCCATTTTGGTGACACAAAACTTGTGGCCTCGACAACAGGCAACCCAGAAGAAACTAGCAGTTTTATCAATTCAACTTTCACGACAGTAGGAACTATATTCTTCTCATTCTGTAATCCATCCCTTGGACCAACCTCCACTATCTTCACATAATCTGGAATACTTTTAAGTAACTGAACCATTGTACGTACTACAAAGTATTAGTAACAAATTCTCAAAAATAAATAAATGAGTTAATGCAGAGAGGAACTAGTCAATTCAACAGATTTATCAGAACATAGTTCTACATTGGCATTAAAAGTTTAAAATTCGATATAGAAAAAAAACTCGCTGTCGTTATTTTTATATTAAAAAAATGTATGAAATGGATACCATAATTATGTACCAGGTCACCCGGGACATTTTCCTTGCTTAACTACAAATTTCAGGTTAATATACATCACAATACCAAAAGGAAAACTCTGTGCATAAATCAGATGTACCTTACTAGAGAACTCCTTTGCAGTAAATCGATCGCTGCCATCAGACGTAAAATGACGAACTCCCCTGCAGCAGGGACAACGACCATTATAAGAATACTTCCAAAGATATACATCTGAAATCAAATTCGCACGTGACATCGCAGAGGAAGAAGAGAATTAAGCAATGACGGAGTGAAATATGTAATGACTAGCTAAAAGTGATAAACATGTAGTCTCATATGTCAAAGCAACTGGCATTGTAACAACAGGAGATGGGCATAAAACCTCGAAATTAATCGTTCAGTCAAAGGAACAATATTGATAACTTTCTGAAATGACCTGCAAAAGAAATGGCTTACTTGCCACTTTTCCAAAAACAGACAGCATCTAATCCATTAGCTCCAATAACGTTAGCACAAGCGCTATGATTCCAGATTTTGTCGACTCCAGCACTTGAGACCCCAGTCATTAAGCGAGGAGAATCCTCCAAGCTTGGCATCGTCAAAAGCTGGAGGCGATTAAAGAACAGTCCCCTTTGCAAAATCCTATGCGCACGCATGTTTGCAAACATTTGATCACTTTAAGAAATTGCGAGTTGCCAGCCGGACTTATATAAATTGAAAACCAACCAACTCCAGCTAGAAGAAACACATGAAATTCAGTATCATGAGAAAAGAAGGTGGGGGAAAGCAAGTCCTTGATGACGATAAAGAAGAACCCGGCTGAAACACAAGGAAAAGCTACAGCCAGCAAACAAATCAATGTGGGTTTGATCCCCGAAACAAATCCAGAATTCAGATCACACGAGGCGGAAGTATAAATCCTAGAATGGATAGGAGAGATAGAAAGGAGATGAAGTGCGGGAGCTGAAGAGGATGGGGATGGGAGGGATAAACTAAATTAATAGAGAGAGTGACGAAATTGATAATGCAGTTCGTTATTTCAGTCAATGGAGGATCGGCTGAAGAGAGACCAAAATGACGCAGTGGAAGCTGCGCGTAAAGTAGAGGGCCCATTCAAAAGGATTAATGTTGGGCCTTAGTCGAACAACATTGGGCTTTCGACTCGAGTGAATCACCTTATAATCACACAACATAGGACCAGCAGCGTGAGAAAGAAGTCCGTATTTATAATTCTTTCGGCAACCAGCGGGGGATTGGCTCTGAGGTGTCATTTATCACATTTAATATCTGACGGTATCTCGAATAAGATTACTCTATATCTATACTTTAGCAAAGAGCTCTGAAACCCAGCTCATTATTAAAAAAAAAAAAATTGTTTTTCCCCCTTTTTTCTAGAAGAAATCCAAAGAGAAATTAAGAGGGGAGTTTCAGAGACAGCCGGGGGATCATCATGGATGGTTTGACCGCGGGATTTGCAGCAACGCATGGACGACTTCGAGGAGTCTTTCCGTGCGCGCATATTTGAGTCAAACAGTCAATGACGTCTGGGCTCGAGAACGGAGAGGCCAGAATGAATTAGTGGGCCCATTCCAAAGGTTGATATTGGGCTATTGTGGAGCTACACTGGGCCTTCGTGTGAAGCGGGTGGCCCAGATTGGAAAACCAAGTACTTAATGAGCGACACGTGGTTCAACCTTGATGGAGGGAATGAATGTAACAGATGCATGCATGTAGCGTATTGAATGGAATTAAATGCTCTTGAAGAGTATAGATATAGTTTGTGCTGGAGCAGGGATGATTGAGAGAAGGGAAGAGAAGGAAGATGAAGAAGGAAGGGGTGTCATTTGGAGTTGTGATGGTCGTGGTGGTGGTGAGTATCAGTATGATGTGTGTTGACGGAAGAGGAAGAGGAGGGGGTGAAGGGGAGGAGGGGGTGTGGAGGATATGCAGGCAAGAGATGGGAGCATGCGTCAGCAAAGAGGATTGCGCATTCAGGTGTGCTGCAGCCCACCCTGGGGGTCAAGGCGCCTGCAAGTACTCCCTTCTCTCTTTCTCCCCTCACGGGAATCCCTGTCTTTGCAAGTTCCCTTGTTAACTTCCCTCATATATATTTTCATTATTATATATATCCCCAGTAAATTAAAAATCTGTTTTTTCATTTTTCATTTTTCATTTGCACTTTGCACATTGCTACTGCTCTTTTGCTTCTAACAAACCACAATTTTCGTACAAAGGATGATCAGGTGATGAGAACTTGGCTGTGTTTATTAAACTGAGATTACCAAGGAGATCCAACCCATACACGAGTTTTATGAAATATGATGAGTCTAATGTGGCGACATTTCCAAAGGCCGACATAGATATGATGTGGGGAACGCTATTCATACAGGCCACGTTAAAAAATTATTTATATGCAGTGATTAACAGATTATTTAATACTCGAGTTATATGAAAATTTACAAATGCTCATGATTCAACGCCATGTCATGCATCTCCGCTAATGTTTCACGTCTCCTAGTATCTCCTTAATGAGGATTTATCATGGAAAGACTGAAACCAATTTAACGGAAGCATTAATAACTCTATAACATCAGAATTTTCAGCAAAATTTAATCTGTAAAAAAATATTTTAAAATATTGACAACCAAGATTCTAGAAATATATATTTAATACATATACAAAAATTTAGAAAGCATTTTTTTACAACAAAAAAACTCTCAATACTTTTTACACACGTATTTAAGAAGTATCGACACATATTAATATTTGTTGGGATACCAACATATATAGATACCTCAAACATATTTTTTTGGCCAACGAGACGCCTCAAACAATTTTAAGCATTAGTGGTATTTCAACCAAAAAACAATTTAGAGATTATAAACTTACGATAAAGTGCGGATCAAAAACCCTCTTCGTGCTCCCCGACCCGTTCCTCGCCTCCCTCTTCCATTCTGAATTCCTCCCACATATTAAACTAAAATATATTATGTATTTGCCTACAATAGTTAATATATATATATATATATATATATTTAACATATACAGAATTATATGCCTTGTCAATTTAACAATATATGTGTGTGTATATACTGTGCGTGCGTGTGTAGAAAATACATATTCTCATTAACATGATACTACCTCCAGTCCTTAATACAAGACCCCGTTTGACTTTTATTTTGGTCCTAAATATAAGACCCCAATCTACTTTGTCTCTCATATTTATATATATATTTTTCAAAGTAGCCCTTCTAACAATGATAGTTCTAGTCAATACACTTAATTAGTAATGATATTTTAGGAAAGATAACACCTATTTAGGACAAATAACTAACTCAACTTACTTCTTTAATCTCCTCAAATTAGTCAACTGGCTCTTATAATTAAGACCGGAGGTACTATATATTAATTACCTATGATTCCACACAATGCAGTAGAAGAGAAAGAATGCGCGATAATTAAATAGACGTGAAATTAAAGTGTTTAGATATATTATTAAATTATGATAAATTATAAAGAAAAATTAATCTTTTAGTGCTTGTAATTTTAATTCATTTGTAACTCAATCCTTACAATTTTGATTCTGTTGTAATTAAGTCCCTGAAATTTGACTCGCTGTATCTTGATCCCTATTTTTTTTTACCCATTTTATAATTTAATTCTTGTGTTTTAAAAAAATGAAATTATATACTCCTTTGGTCCTGAATACAAATCTAATTTTGTAGTGTAATTTACACTACAAAATGAGTATTATATTTAGGATTAGAGGAGTATATAATAGAGGGACTAAAATATAACATAGTTAAGAATATAAAAACCAAGTTACAATGAGTTAAATTTTAGGAACTGAATTATAACTAAGTCAAAATTATACAGGCTAAATTGCATTGAGTCAAAGTATAAGGATTGGGTTACAAATGAGTTAAAATTATGAAGGCCAAAGATTAATTATACCAATTATAAAATAATAGGTAAAGAGTACTTTAGAGGTAAACTTTTTTAAAAAGCAAAAAAAAAGAAAAAGCGAAGGGTATCACATGTGTGTTCACTGATGATCTTAAATATTGAATAGCATTGATTGCGTTAACAATAGTCAAACCAGACTGGCTATAAGTGCACGCATAGGGAGACACGAGGAATGCAGGAAGAATAAGTGGTGGTAACAGATCGAGAGTTACAGGGGAGCCGAAGAAGATGATGAGGAAGCAGTCAATCATTTCCTCGTGCATTATTCTCATCCTGGTCATTGCTCTGGGTAAGTTTCTATGTTCTGTGCTATTATTACTTTATTCGAGTCTAAATACGTACTTGTCTTGATTTGGTGTGAGCACGAATGAGTGAATGAAACAGTGGGGACATCAGAAGCAGAGGTGGGGATAGAGATACCAGGAAGGTATTGTATCAGAGACTTCGGAGCATGTGGTGTGAGCATGTTCATCTTTTTCGTTCCTTCCCTAATCCCTCTTCCTATATCCTTGTTTCCCATGATATAATAATTTACTATCCTTGATTATTACTAAACAAGAATCGAGATGGGTGCCTGTGAGTTTGAGAGATTTTTTTTTTTGTGGGTTCACTTTTCTAACACCCTCGGGCCTCGACCCAGCCCAATCTAGTTATTTAGAATCTGATCATATTAAATAATTACTGCTTCCTATCCTAGTTATAAAATTCCGTTTTAGGACCGGAAGCAGTATTTCACAAATCACTATTGCTTTGAAAAACCCAAATTAATTATAGCACGTTTCTTTCGGGAATTAACTGAATGGATGGCAATAGATAAAAATTTCAAAAATAAATTAGAATTCAGATTTATGTTTCATGCTTGTATAATATAAGTTTTTTTTAATATTAAGAGAGGTGTTTCTGAAACAAAGGGGGCATTATGTAATTTGAATAAATAAATAGTGGAACACGTTTCACCGGGGGGGAAAAAAACATATACTCATGCGAAATGCCACGACCCAGAAAGGCGTTGCATCTCCAAAATGCCACTGCCGGTTTCCTTCTTCACTCTCCTCCCTCTTTCTCATTCCCTTCAATCGATACACACACACACTTTCATGCATTATTATTATTATTATTATTAGTACTGCTGCTGCTGCTAATATTGGTAATTAATTTATCATGTTCCCCCTCCCACGGTTCATATAATAATAATTTAAGTCCCTCTATCGCTTTGATCGTCTTCTCCGTAATGCCTGCTATGTCTTCATCACCAAAATATATAATAATATAACCATTATCGCTCGTTATTGAAAATCAACTGTTCCGGTAGAGCCGGTAATATGGGTTGAGTCCACGGGTTCAACCCACCAACCCACTAACAAGTGGCGGGTTGGGTTGATAAAAATTAGGACCGTTTTAAAATGGAAGTTTGAGTCCATAACCGCCAAGCCCAAACCCGCGGCGGGCTAACCCGCAGGGTTGGCGGGCCAACCCGTTTAACCCTTTTTTTTTTTGGGTAAATTTTTCCCTTTGCCTCTTAGTCTCTACACTCTTGGCCTAGTCCACAGTGCAACAGTAAGCAGTCCATGTCTAATAATCTAACATGGCAACACCAACACGGTCTCATTTTCACATTTTGCTTGTGTGTCGCACTCCTCCCAGACTCCCAACTCTCCTAGACCCAGTCTCCCAGTCGCCCTCGGCCAGTCCTAACTCCCAAGTCCCAAGCCCCAAGCTCTCTACTCTCTGTCTTTGCTTTACGCCTTTGCCCTAGCTTATGAGTGATGATTGAGCACTTGATAGTGATTTGTGTAGTGACATTGTGTTTGTGACTTTGTGGTAGTGTTAATTTGGATTTATGTTTTAATCTGAGATGTTTGTTAAATTATTAAGGACATATCATGTTCATTTAATCATATGTTTAATATTTTGATATATTTGAAATTTGAAACTTGGAACTTTGGATGGGTTCCATGTTTTATTTATGATAATTTCTATTTACATGTTTTATTTTAGGTATTTAGAAATTTGAAACTTTGAGTAGGTTTTATTAAAAAAAAAAGTAAAAACAA